TAGGAAGTCGGAGCCACGGCCTGTTTTTATACTCAAGTTAAACTATTTCTATGATACCCGTCGCACTATTGTCAAAAAATAATATCTGAAATTTGCGAAACTGTTAGTGAGTAATTTAGATATATATGTATATAAACCTATATTTAAATATTAATAGCATGTTAGTCTGTCTTCACTATCTATTAGTAGGACAATTTATGCGTGAATAATAATCAAAGTATAGTTTACATATGAACCTCTATGTGAGTCCATATAGTTGGATTTATGGATTAATTTGTTTAGTTATGTCATGTGTTGTTTATACAGAATAATAGCCCAATAATAATAATAATTTATTTTTAACAAAACTACCTAAATAATGCAGGTAGGCCAACAATGTTTATCCTAGTGCCCGAACTACAATGTTTGCCTTTTTGGGCTCCAAATATTTTTATATAATTATATTATAACAATTATTATTTAAAATATATTTTTAAAAAATCTATCAAAATAAAAATAATTACAATTGATAAATAAATTTATATTAAAATAAATAATTATTACGTTGACGTTAGTTGAGTCAGTGCAGTTTAGCACTTTTACTCTCCACTAACTGCGAGGTGTCTTCATAACTCTTCTCTACGCTTTGACTGGATTATTGTTTATCACTTCATTAGACTAAGCAATAACTGAACTCAGGTCGGCATACCTTCCTGAAGGGTTGGTAATCATTCTGAAATTCGATAACGCGGTGTTGGTACTGACTTAAAAAAAGAAATGAAAAAAATTGTTAGAAAATAGTTTTTTAAAAATAATAATAATAGATTAACATATAAACCCAATGCTGATGTACATTAATGTCCCGATTACTCAGAATTTAAACCCAGTAAAACACTTGATTTTATGTTATAAATTAAATATTTGAGTCCAATCCATTAAGCTAATAAATATAATTTTGTGTTCTGTTTCACCGGGCAACTACTTAAGTTGTCATCAAACGATGACAAGTTATATCAAAATAAATTTATGTTTGCTAAATATAGAACATTTCAACCCTGTAAGTCAGTTGCTTATATATTGCAGATTAAGCAATTAACACCAATCCTAAAAGCGTTTAATATCAAAGTGGAGTTTATGTTATATATTAAAACTTCTGGTTCACATTTGCTTCACTATAGAATTTATCATGTATTGTATAACCGGATTATTTTATTTACTATGTATATATTTTGATAATTTTTAAAAGATGGAATGGGACACAAACAAACATCATTATTCACTATTCGCAAACCTAAGATTGATTGTAATTTTATAAAAAAACATAAATAAACTTAACATTATTTAACTAATTTCATAGATTTCCTTTTACTTTTTACGAGGAAAAAAATCAGTATAGAAAATTTCCAGTAAACAAACCATTTCAGCAATGAGAACCCGAAAAAAAGTGGTTCTAATTTATGCGCGTTTACTGTATTAAAAAATTATAGGTTTCTACATACACGTAGGATGGCAGAAAATCCTTCTACTGAACCCTCCACGAGGGTGCCGTCTGGAAATGGGTCACACAGTTTTTTCGTCCTGTACGTTGTCAGGACGGTGCCCAGCTAAGATCAGGAGAAATTGAGTGATTGTCCTTAGCTCTTTAATAGCTGCACACCACTCAATGCTTTCTGATCATGGTTTGAAGGTCCCCTTAACTCGGGAGTGTTACGCGATCCGTGCTCACCGAGTAGGTTTGCAGTCAAGGGGTCTGTCCGACTGTATTTTTGCGGAGCCTCTCCAATATATGACCGCCTTGGGGAGTAACTGTGGTCTAGCCATGGTATGGGACGCTGCTGTGGTGGTCGCTTCTTTCGTCCAAATATCCTCGGGTCCGCCGCGCCTGTCTTACCGGGTAAGGTGGACGATTATGAATATGTTATGATTTCTCCCGACAATGTCTCGGAACTCGTGGCTGGAGAGTATAAACCCACCAAACTTACGGAGGACGAATTGTTGAAATCGGACGACGAGATCGTTGCCGATTCCAATACCGGTTGTACCAGTCACAGTACACCGGCGTCTAATCCAATCCAACCAACAACCAAAAAAATCGACGGCATTCCGTCTACCAGTCAAAGTAGACCGAGTGCCAACCGCACGCCAACGCTTAAAACTGCCAGTCTAAGCAGTAAGGGCAATACAAAATCTCGGAAAAAAACGGCCAACATGGCACGCAAAAATCGTTACCAGCGAGCGCTTTTTATGCTAAAGAAAATTGAGAGCAATAAAAAAGAAGGCAAGGTCCATGAACGAGACGAAGCCGACGCTGTTAAATACCGCGCGATTGTGGAGGAGTATCTTCATGATGAAGGTCTGCGCCAGTCTGTTATCACCGGCAAGAACGTCGGAGATGGCGGCAAGCGTAACAGATCTCAGGAAGATCCCGGCAAGGAGGCGAAGCGGCACAAAGATGGAACGGGGGATGGAAAGCTTATGTCAAGACCGGCACAAGCTTCTCGTCCCTTCAGTGAAGTGGCGAGAGACCATCTCAGTGTGGCCTTGATCGACGAACACAACTCTAACGGCAAGCTGCTGATGGAGAGGTGGGCGCTGATTGAGACCAAACTGTCCGAATTGGTTATGGCTGAGCTCATGACTAATCCGGGGTCCGTTCCTTCTTTTGACTGCGCAGATATCGTCCGTGGTCACCGAGTGATCAGATGCGACGACGAGTATTCGCGGAGTTTTCTCAGCAAGGCGATCACTAAGATTAGTGAGAACTGGGACGGTTTAAAGCTCAAACTTGTCCCTGCGGCGGAAATTCCATCGAGGCCTCGAGCGCGCGTATGGTTACCCAAAAACCTTGGTCCTCCTGACCTTATTCTGCAGCAGCTAAAGCTACAAAATCCAGAAATCCTGATGGAAGACTGGTCGGTTCTCAAGACCGAAGAACCGCAAAAACACAGCCAATCGTACTTACTTCTTATCAACGAAGAATGCTTGCCAGTCATTGAGGCTAATGACTGCAAGCTGCGTTACGGCATCCGGAAGGCAAAAATTAAAATCTTTAAAAACGCGCCACCGGATAATATTCTGGATGAGGTTGAGGGCACTAGTAAGCTGCTAGATGACCTCATCATCGATAGCAAACCTTGTTGATGTATTAATGGCCAAGGTCGTGCAGATAAACCTGAAACACTCTAAATGTGCCACGGATAATTTGGCTGTCTTACTCAGGGAGGAGGACATCGACCTTGCCATCATCCAAGAGCCCTGGGTTCATAGCTCATGTGTCAAAGGGCTCAACATCAATGGGTATAATCTTTTTTATGACAAAGGACAGGGTAAGCCTAGATCGTGCATTTTAGCAAAAACGCACCTTAATGCTTTTCTCTGCTCTCACTTAAGTTCTTTAGATATAACCACCATCCGGATAGAGCGGAAGCTAAAACCTGCGATTTTGGTAACATCCGCCTACATGCCACACGACGATGAGGCACCTCCATGAGGGTACTACTAGTCCAAAATTTCGCGCAGACCGAGAAGCTAGCCTTGCTGATGGGTTGTGATGCCAATGCCCGGCACTCCTTGTGGGGAAGCTCGGAAATTAACGATAGAGGTGAGTCTCTTTTTGATTTTATATTAAAATGTAATCTAGAAGTATGTAATAAGGGTAACACTCCCACCTTCATTTTTCCGAGTACGGATGATCGTGTAGGCTGGGAAGAGGTTTTAGATATTACCCTTTGTTCGACTTCGTGCTCTTTAACGATCAATGATTGGAGAGTTTCAACCAGGAACTCCTTCTCTGATCATAGATATATCATGTTTGTGATGAATATTCCCATGGTAGCTAAGCAATCTCACCGTAATCCCAGGAAGACAAACTGGGATACTTTCAGGTCATTGCTCAATAGAAAAATCAACATAGCCCCCGCTCCAATTAACTCGATTAGGGAATTGGAGTGCAGGGTCAACTCTTTGACAAATAATATTATTTCTTCCTTTGAAGCATCATGTCCTCGCTCGTATGCGAAGAAGTGTAGGCCACCATGGTGGAACGAGAAGCTCTCTTTGCTCCGCAGGAATGCGAGAAGAGCCTTCAACGAAAGCTATCGGACCAAGGTTTGGACTCCATATAAAGATGCTCTTAGGGTTTACAAAAAAGCACTTCGGGAATCCAAGAAATTGTCATGGAATTCTCATTGCCAGCAAATTGAAAGCATTAAAGAATCGGCTAGACTAGCCAAATTGCTAGCAAATGGCCAATCTTGTCCCTCGCTCATTAACAAAGTAGACGGAAATCCAGTTAAATCCCTAACGGAATCCCTCTCACTTTTAGTGGATACCCATTTTCCTGGTTCCTCGGGTGATCCCCCAAAGGTATTGCCGTATCGTTCAGCCAATTCTGGCGAGACTGTACAGTCAGTGGTATCATCTAGAAGGATCAAATGGGCCATCGATTCATTCTCTCCATATAAAAGTCCGGGTCCTGACGAGATCTTACCAATTATGTTACAATCTCTGGGAGATGTAGCTGTAAATTGGCTGTACGCGATTTTCTGTAGCTGCTTTTCACTTAATCATGTCCCCAGCGGCTGGAGACAAGTTAGAGTAGTTTTTATTCCAAAAGCAGGTAGAACAGGCCATAGTACGGCTAAAGATTACAGACCCATCAGCCTTTCTTCATTCTTACTTAAAACTATGGAAAGACTGATCGATGCTCACATCAGATCTTTACACAGTTTCGCTAAAATATCAAGG